AGAATATGTAAGCAAATGAAAAGAATATGGAATAAAATATCACACTTGTAAATTATTACTCACATCTCTGACTTTTTCTATAGTTTAAATGCCTAGAAGTAGAATAACAAGTCAAAAGAGATGGACACTCATATCTTTGACATGTTTTAGTCAAAATATCTTATAATAAAGGTATTAGTACAAATAAATACAAAATAAATTTGTATTTCCAGTTAACATTTCACTTTTAACACTGAATATTTTGTCTAAACATGTGTTTTATTATTTTTTATTTGCATTTTTATGAATATTGGTGAAATTGGACATTTTCTCACGTTTACTATCTATACTCTTGTTACAAATCATTTGTGTTCCTCACAGTTTTCTGTTGGCATGTTGATATTTTTATCGTTAGAAAATAAGATCAGTGTATATAATAACTATTTTAACTTTTTGTTACATTGCAAGTATTTCCCAAGTTTGCAACTTAACCTTTTAATTTTGTTTATAGGTGATAGTTTTAACTTGTTTATATTCTGTGATGGGAAAATGCTTCATCAAAATTCTTTCATTTTTATAGCACCATTTTCCGGAAAGATTTTTGCTAAAACTTAGTTGCTTATTTCATATGGTTGATCTATTTGTCTTGAAAAAGTTTACTGATTTTTTTTTATTTTATTTTATTTTTTTTTACGTAGACTGTTATAAAGGTAGAGATTCCTACATAAATGATTTTTCTCTTCGGGAATTAATCTTAGAATGACTATTGTGACATTTTCATTAAATCACATGGCACTAATTTAAATATCTAATGATTAAAGCACTATGTGCTAATTTTTAATATTACATCTTTATAAAAGATTTTTCTAAGATATAAAAAAACCAGGATAATATACAATAAAAATCACATTTTTAAAAACACATTAAAAGAATATGAACAAGTCATACTTATTGAAGTAATTTAAGACTTCTACTAGAAACAAAGTTATAAAATGTTTGTTACTTGAAAAACAATTGATAGTGACATAATAAAGTCCCATTTAGTTTTTTAAATAGATCATAATTTCTTTTTGTTAATTCTGATTAACTGTCCTTGTATTTATTTTAGACTAGTGAAATAATCCTAAAATTGAATTTGCTTTTTCAGAATGTTAACCTTTTACCTACATGCCATTAAAAAAATTAATAAATTCTCAAGGGTAATTTCTTAGAGACTTTTATATCAGGGGATAATTATGCTTGTTTATAGGAAGTAGACATTGCTGAGAGAAAATACAGCACATCTTAATCTAACAAGACAGAGCTTCGTATAAAGATAATGCATGTCAGTCTGTAGCCAATGGGAAGTATAATCAAACTCTTTGTCAAACAAGTTTTCAATGAAAGAGTAGCTGTGTCAAAGGGAGATTACAGGCGATTTACTACGGTCTCACTCCATATGTTCTAAAGGTTTCTGCTTTGCAGTTTCAAAGGGTGCTCTTTTCCCAATCCCATTTAGAGTCAGAACTTCATTGACTGCAGGATATGAATTGGAGAGCAGCCAGAAAAGAATAATATTCCTGCTGAGGTTGTTTATATCCAGATTTAGATTTAAAAGGGAATAACATTAAATAGAAGAAAAATAAATGCAAACTTACTACACTGAACTTTCAATTTGAAGTTATCCTACTCTTTTTAGAATATATAATCTCAAATATAAAAATGTAAAACTTTTTAAATGAAAAAAAAACAGAAACAAGAGTCTGTCTAGATTACTTTTTAGACATTGATACTGCAATTTAAAACTTTGTAAGTAGAAAGTTCTCCCATACATGACATTTCAAGAACAATTTCTATGCATATGTTCTTATATGACAGTTTTCTAACATCAGACATGTCGGCACTGATGTTTTTAGAATATCTGTGATCTCTGTTTCATGAACAAAATTTTCTAAAACTTATTCAGGGGTCAAGGTTTTGGGGGGTTTTCCTACTTTTTTTGCTTTGAATTTTCAGCTCGTAAGTGGGGTTATGTTACCAAATTACATTGTAAATATCCTGAAACTTTTAGTGTAAAGCAATATTTTGAGGAAACAAAATGATATTCTAGAATATTCTTGTTCCTAAAGTACTATCCTGCCTTTAACTTGTACTTCACAGCGCCTAGTTTTGATGTATTTAGGGAAAAGTTGATAATGTTTTCACTGCTACCCAGTGCCAGGTTCATTACAGAATAAAATAGTCATAGAAAGCAAGTCAGAAATTCAATGAAATTTCCAAGTTTCTTTCAGTAATTAAGAAAATACTCCTTTCGTGGGTATTGGCTACTTGAAGTAAGTTTATGTCAGTAAGGCTTTATACTCTTTTGTGTCAGCAATTGATTAAACTACTTATTAAAAAAAATCATATCCAAGGTTGGAATGTCTTAGAATTAATGTAATATTCTATTCTTTTTGAAATTATGCACATTAATTTTTGCTTAGTAAAGATACTCAAGTAGTACAAATGAATTTTTCAAAAACAAGTCTGAAGGTAAGAAAAAAACAGTGGCTCCTAGTGATTCATAATCAATCCAGTGATCAAAAAGAATGTGGAGTGTAGTCATATTCATTAACTACATTGGATAATATGTTTGAAGGTGCTTTATTAACTGTAAAACACTGTACAAAAGCAAGGTATTCTCAGTCAAATCTTATCATTTGGGCCCCGTTCATGGCCCAATTTAAATATTGCCTTTCTTATATGTGTTTTATAGGATAAACCTATAATTAGATTAGAGTTCACTTTTAGAAAATATTTACCAACCAGAGTAGGTGATTATATATACAACATGCCTCATAATCTCTCCCAGTATTATATTGCTTTGCTTCCTTTGTACTCTATTGCCTCTAATTATCCAATGTACTCTAATTTTCTTCTCCTATTATATCACTGTTCTGTGAAATTTGGGGGCCGGGTCAAGTTTTTCTTTATACATGATCTTAATGGTCTCAGTGGGTAGATTGTTTCAGGTAACCATCCTTGGGGATAACCAGGAGTTAATGGTTGTATTCTAATAATAGTTAAAAGTACACATTAACAGTTCATTGTTATTTAGGCCTCTGAGATGCATGTTTTGTTTAAATAGGTGCAAATGCCATCCAGATGCTTATAAAAGTATTTATTGCTAATAGAATGGCCAATCAAAGTACATGGTTAGGTAGTGATGTCATAGTGTTACTTAATATTTGACCCTAGAACAATGTGCAAGAATCTTCATAGTGATCCACATGCTTTCCACCACAGTTGTCCTATTTGGCCCCTCTTTGATCTACATGCTTCTTTTTAGCTGAATGCTGGTAAACGTCCTTTCTGACAGCCCCCTTTGCTCTTGCCTGCCATTATCTGCTGAAGTTCAGAAACCAGAGCATCACTTCAAACAGGAGAGTTAGGGAGTAGCCAGTCAGAAGAGATTCCTGAGGCATGCACAGTTCTGGCATAATCATTCAAAGATGTGTGGATCGGGGGGCTGGGGATGGCAGAGGTATATGTGAACACAGAGAGCTGTGGGGGTTGGCCTCTGGTCACTGGTAAATAAGTGAAGTCAGGTGCCAGAGAGTCTAGACACAGTGATTTCAGTCGTGGGTCTTTGGTATCTGATACTCAATATGGGACTTGTCTGATTGAACACTATTGCTTCTTCATTGTACAGGCTGAAGCCCTTTTAGTGCTTTCCTGTTAAATTAGTAAAAGATGACAATGGATGAGGTTAAAACAGAAAAAAATCTAGTTTTAATATTTCCTAGTTGTCAGCAATTACACTTACTTTTGAAGTGCCATGATAGCAGAGATATAATGTTGCATGGGGAATTTGAGCTAAACTATTATTTTTAAAGTTGAATGCTCTAATTAAAATTGAATTGTTTCTCTTTCTTATTATGAAAACTAATTCCATATCATTATACATTCCATTCATATTTAGTCCTAATTTCTCTTGATTTGGGGGATGGGAGTTGGATAAGTTTTCAAGCCATTAGTTTTTAAAAATCTAGCTCCTGATCATTTATTTCTATACAGGATTTAACCTCAAAATTACTTTTTTAAAAAATAACCAATAACCTCATTTTTAAGGGCAATTTTCATACTACAAAGGCTGATTTGAAGTAAATAATTTTTGTGAGCAATAAGTATTTGGTCTTATTAAAGGAGTTCTTTCATCACAACAGATTTCATTATTGTAAAAATGTTTCTTGATGTCAGTAGTAGTTTGGAAGAAATCTATAGTAAGTTTTGTATTATAGTATGAAAAACATAATTATATTCATTAGAGGATTATCACCTACATTTTTATTAATTTGTAATGTAATTGTTATTAGAAACTTTATTTGTAACTTAATTGTTATTGGCCAAGAGTGAGATCTGTTAAGTATATACAATAAATTAATATTATTTTCTCTTTGCCATAGAATCTCTTTATTCTGTAACATTATTAAGTTTTGATGATTCTTTACCTGGAGAGTCCATTAGTGGTGACATTTGTGACTGAAGCTCTGCCCTGTGGAAGGACAGGATATATGCCAGCTGTTCACATGCTGCCATGTTTTGTAATTTTCATCCCAATCAGTGCATTTTGTTAGAATTCTATCTAACAATTGGAGTAGTATGGGTTTTTTAATTTTGGTTTCCAGTTCATTGCTAGCACCTAGAAATATTTATTTCTATGTGTCGACCATGTATCCTTAAAATATCAGTCATATCAATCATATGACAATTTCTACAAAAGTACCTACAGTCCAACCATTTCTTCTAAACTCAGGCCTGCATTTATAACTTCCTACTGAATGTCTAGGCTAGACTATCACTTAGGCAATTTGAACTCAATATACCTAAAACCAAAATCACTATCTTCTCTGTAAAGTTTTATCCTACTCAAGCTTTCTTTTTTTAGTAGACGTTATCACTACCTGGCATGTCCATTGCAGAAACCTAGAAGTTATCTTTGACATCTCCACTCCCTTAATGCCGACATCTAGCCAGTTATTAAATTTCATTGTAGCTCTCTAAGTATATCTCCAATCAATCATTTTATCTTTATCCCCATCTCTGTACTTACTCCAGGCAGCCATCATCTCACTGAGACTTTTCCTTTAGCCTCCTAGATGGTTTCCAACATTTTCTTCTTGTTTCAATCTGTATGCTTCCTGGCCAGATCTTTTTGAGATGCAGATCTTTTCCTGACACTTTTTTGTTTAGGATCCTTTAAGAGCTTCTCATTAGCCCTAGGATGAAGCCCCAAATCCTTAATACAGTACTTCAAGATCCTGCATGATCTGGCTATTACCTTTTTACCTCTCAACACTGTTTCCATTTCTCTAAACATGCTTACTTTCTTTTAGTTCTTCAGTAGAGTACTGTTCTTTCCTGCATTGTGAGCTATTGTCTTTGCTTGGAATTCACTGCTCCCAAACTAAATTTTTTTGATTCTTTAAAGCAAAAGTTTATTTCTCTTGTATTCGCTACTGTACTTGGAAGTTTGTATTTAGTGCAGAGGCAGAGCATCTAATGCTTTCTTAACTATTCTTTTAGTTATTAAACAGTGAAAGCTTGTCAGTTTTATGTGTCAAAATCTATATTGTATTATATTATTTCTAATGTACAATCTAAGATAACACATTATGATCAAATATTCCTTCTGGGTTTTTTTTTTTCTTTTTGTTTTTTGAGTAAAACATGCCCTGTATTTTTTACTAGTTAATGAAGATGCTCTTTGAATGTTCAGATGAACGAATTGACTTGGAACTCATTTCTTTCTGCATTAATCTTGCTGCTAATAAGAGGAATGTACAACTTATTTGTGAAGGTCAGTGCTGTCGAGCTTGCTGGGTAACCTCTTTAAGAATCTGGTAATTGGAAGAGGATGGAAAATAGATAATAAGGAATTAAAAATTACAGGGGATATGTACATCTTATTTTCAAATACATCCTATGGCTATTATCTTTAAAGGTCAGATAAAATATTCTTATGTCATGAGTGAAGACACTTACCCTCCAGTAACATTTTATAAACTATGGTCAGTTAGCCTTAACTGAAATTTGATTTTGTAAACATTTTCTAGATAAAATGAAACTTTTTATTTGTAAAGCAGTGTATTACAGCGTAGGGCAATAAAATCCTAATGTATTAGATTACTGTTTCTAAAATAGTATTAGAAACAGTAAATGGTAAAATGGTTTGTCATAAATTATAATGTTTCAGAGTCTATCTAGTACTATTTTCCTTATCGAAAAAGTAATATATTTGTTATAGAAAACACAAGTGAGCAAATGGTAAATAACTAAAATATTTACTCCTACTGTCTGCAGATAATCATAGGTAAAATTTTAATGTAGTGATTCTGTATATTTTTAAATATAAAATGTTTTTCCTCTATATATAGTTATGTGTTCTTCTAATATTAGTAATATCTTGAAGAATATCATTTCATGTGATTACTTTTATAAAACATAATTTTATTAATAGCTGCAAAATTGTCCAGTAAAGGATTTTATTTCATTATTTTAGATACAGTTTATTGCCACTTTTTTTCTGTTGCAAGCAATGCTGCAGTAATTATCCTTTCTCTGAATCTTTGCAATTTTTCATTTTATCTTCTTAGTATAAATTCCTAAAAGTATATTTTTCTAGGTCAAAAGTATTAATTTTTTAATACTTTTGCTGCATATTTCAGACACAAAAGAACATATACTGTGTGATTCTATTTATATAAAGTTCTAGAACAGCAAAACTGAGATGTATTTTAAAATAAGAACGAGAAGAGGAAGAGGACAGAAGAAAAGTGATTGTATCTGGGTAACAGAATTGAGAGAAAGAGGCACAAGGGAACTTTCTGGAGGGAGTAGAAATAGTCCATGTGTTGATATGTAGTGTGGGTTGCATAAGTATATATATGTGTTACCTATATAATCAAATTGCACACTTAAGATTTATGCATTTTACTTAATATAAATTATTGTGGATTTTTTTGAAAATTAAACAAATGTTATTAAACTTAAGTTAAAACCTTAATTTTATTGGGGGAACTTTCTATTTTAGGAAATGGGCTGAAGATGCTCATGAAGAGGGCTCTGAAGTTCAAGGATCCATTGCTGATGAAAATGATTAGAAACATTTCCCAGCATGATGGACCAACTAAAAATTTATTTATTGTAAATATAACTTTTGGCTTTCTATTACCATAGAATGAGAATTGAAGATTTAAATTGCTATAGTTAGTAATATAACTCTTACTGGACTCTCATCATATATTAACTCCTGATCCAAATGGACTCTTCTGTTAGAGACTTTGTTAGTTTAGCTCCTAGAATTCTCAACCTGTGTTTCCATGTTGGTTTTGTTTTGCAGTCCCTACTCCTGTTCCCTTTAACCTGCCCCACTACAGTCTTCATTCCTTTAACCAGTTCACCGTAGGCTTTCTTAGCATTTAGATCAAGATTGTTAAAACCAGAGAATCACATCTGATGCTGATTTTTTTTCTTCCTGTGAGTTAAATTGCTAGACTCCTATTGGTTAATTATTAGACTAAATAAAAAATATGTTAAATTTGTACTAAACTTCTATTTTTTTTCAGGATTATGTTGGGGATCTTGCAGCCCAGATCTCTAATGATGAGGAGGAGGAATTTGTTATTGAATGTTTGGGAACTCTTGCAAATTTGACCATTCCAGACTTAGACTGGGAATTGGTTCTTAAAGAGTACAAGTTGGTCCCATACCTCAAGGATAAATTAAAACCAGGTTTGTGCTAAGTATTTCACTTTTTCATAATCACTAAGTTATTTCTTACTGTTATGGATAAGACTGCTACAGCAGTATTGTGGGACTACAGTATTATATACTAGGAAAACCTTTTCTTTCCACAACTCTGTTCTCCCAGAATGGTGGTAACTGGATCTCTTATATTTATGTTCTCTTTCTTTCTCCTAACACTGTGTTTTCTTAATATTAGTTTTCCTTTCCTATTCTACCTTTCTTCTTGTTTTTTGGGGGGAGAAGGGGTTAAATTCTGCTTTTTTAAATTAAGAAATGCTATCCACCTGTATGTATAAGTACACATACACACAAGCACAAAGTACACATACACAAGCACAAAGTTATTTGAAGCATTCAAATGAGTCTTTATTTTCTCTGTCTCCATTGTCATTCAATCATATTGTCAAAGACTTATTCCACTTCTCTGATGCCCCCATCACCAAAAACTGTCATCAGTGAGCCTGAAAATTTAGAAAAAAGATAAATTTATCAGCGCTTTGAAAGAATTGATTTAATATGTTTAGGTGTCTTTTCTGTGCATTAAAATTTTGATAATATAAATGAATTTGGATCAAGACATCAATGAACACTTTCTATGGTTTGACTTTACTAGGTGCTGCAGAAGATGACCTTGTTTTAGAAGTGGTTATCATGATTGGCACTGTATCCATGGATGACTCTTGTGCTGCCTTGCTAGCCAAATCTGGAATAATCCCTGCACTCATTGAATTGCTAAATGGTAAATAATCTTAATTTATTGTCATGCTAACGTCTCAACAGATTACTAGTTTAAATTTTCAAATATAAAATGTAGAATCTGCAATCATAAAATAATATTTATCTTGTTACATTAATCATTTTATAGAAACTTAAATGATCTATAGTTAAGAAAAATGAATTAAATAGAGCTAACTGGGATTGGATAGAGTAATATCAAAGAGCTTTAGGTTGCCAAGTAAGAATGTTATAGTAAAACAATTCGGGACCAATTTTTCAGATAGTGTTCCCCTCTCACTAACCTTCAACAAATTAATATAATGGTCACCAGACCCCCCCTCAGTGGATCCCTGAAATCACAGATAGTACTGAACTTATGTATGCTGTATTTTTCCTATACAAAACTTTAATTTATATTAGGCACATTAAGAGATTAACAATAATAACTAAAAATAGAACAACTATAACAATATGCTGGCATCTATACCCTTGTGCTTTAGAGCCATTATTAAGTAAAATAAGGATTACTTGACTACAAGCACTGTGATACTGCCAATATTGATCTAATAATCTAGATGGCTTCCAAGTGACAATGGGTAGGTATGTATACAGCATGGATACACTGGACAAAGGAATGATTCAAGTTCCAGGTAGGATGGAATGGGATGGTGACAGATATCATCATGCTACCCAAAATGACACCCAATTTAAAACTTAGAAATTGTTTCTGGAATTTTTCATTTATTATTTTCAGACTGGTTGACTGCAGGTAACTAAAACCAAGGCAGAGGGAGAACACCGATAAGGGAGGAGTACTGGAATCTATCATTTTTCTTCTTTCTGTTGAGCTTTGTGTTTGAGTTGGACGCCCTCTCTTCTGAAACCCTCTTTTTATACCTTGATTTATAAGTAAGAGAGTTCATTTAGAAGTTGATTCTAAACATCATATTCCCTTACAGATCAAGAGGGTTTTTGTCCTCTGAACTTTCTGTGATGATCAAAATGTTTTATATCAGGCTATGCCTGTGGCTCAGTGAGTAGGATGCCAGCCCCATATACCCAGGGTGGCAGGTTCAAACCTTGCCCTGGCCAAACTGCAACAAAAAATAGCTGTGCGTTGTGGCGGGCGGCTGT